TCAATTAATTTTCATGCCTCCAGCCAGCTAGAAGATGCTGAATGAACGTGATTGCATGTGAACATGAATAACTCAATGCTGATGAAAAACATCCCCTTGAAATTTGGTCCGCCTCTTTAAGACTTTGTTCTTCACGCGTGGCAATTGAAAATCACAAAAAGCGTTTTGATATTCCAGGTCGAAGCATTACATCCAGCCAAATGTGAACCTTCTCTCGATTGCCGATCCAATCTACGAGAGGAGAGGATAGGAGAGGAGAGGAGAGGAGAGGAGAGGAGAGGAGAGGAGAGGAGAGGGGAGGGGAGGGGAGGATCATATTTGGCTGTGTATACTTGAAGGTTCCATCCTGGCCGATCTCTCCACTTGCCAAAACACGAGAAGTCTCTGAAGCTGAAGACCTCATAGTGGATCGGATCAGCCTGCTTCTATTGCTCGTGGCTTGCGGCCAGGTTTCTTTCAACAGGCGTATGCGTTCAAAGACCGTTGCAAGGCCATTCCAAAAGCGACGAACAGTGCTGCTAAGTTTAAAAGTTGGCATCTGTGAATCTGTGACTTTAATCAAACGTTATTCTCATGACAAATGACCTCATGCTCTAAAAGTGATAGAAATACTATCCATCTGAATTTTTGAAAAGGTGAAAACTTAATCGATATATGTCCGCCATTGAAAGTTGAGTGATATTGATTTTAATTTGGTACGTTGACTCCTAGCGGGGTGTCGCGAAATCGAGTTTCAAACGTCTAGGATGATTTTTCACAGAGAAAGTTCCCCACATCCTATCATTAAGCTCTCTTGTAAAGGGGAGTGAGAGCTGCTACTAATCGCCCTGAACAAACACCCAGAAGGAGTCCATTAATGAAATGCGGAACAGGAACTCCAAATGGGAACTCCTACAGGGCGACCTAAAAAAAAAATAAGTTCTCTCGTTTTCATGTAATTGCTCCATCCGTACTGATTAAGAAGTGCTACCCAATTTGGAAGATAATCATTACTACTCTTTCTAATCGAATGCAATTAATTTAATCGAAATACGGCTCTTAGTTTTTGCACAGTAATTTTTTTCGGACACTTGTTAAAATAAAAATGTAATTGCCTGCCCATTATTTTTCAAACATTTAGGGGTAAATATCCCTGATTTCTTCTTTTTTTTTTTACATTAAGAACTCTTAGATAGGAATGAAATCTAGATGGCAACAACCATATTTAAAGTGAGGATTAAAATGACCTATAATTATCGAAAGTAATGTTCAATGTGCTTGAAGTAATAACTTCGACGGCCGCTGTCAGCCTAACCAGTCACCGCTCGATCGCGCCGAGTCACTGCTCCAAATACATTTATCGTAGCATGTTAAAGGGAATGATACGTGCGAAACTGCGATTGTTTACCTCGCGCAATAAAAAAGAATTTATTGTTCAAAACTATTTTTTGTATTTCTTGAGATAAATAGCATTCCATCAGTAGTGATATTTATCCTCCTAATTGAATACGTGTGAATAAAATGAAAAAGGGTGAACATTTTCTTGGTTCCAACTGTAGAAGAATTGAGTAAAAGTTTGTCATATAATGAGTATTATACGTGGAAAATATGATGATAGTGCGAGGAATGAAGGACGAGAATGACTTCAAGGATAACGCCGCCTTCCTCTCCTTCCCTCGAGCTACTTCGCTAGAGTGCCTTCGTCGAGAATTTACCTCGTTCGCGACGTCGTGCGTGTGTCCATGTACCTCGGGTACCATGGGCACATTTTTCGCTACGATTGGAATTGTCAACCATTCCTATTCGTCGAAAGTCATACCATTGCCGAAGATAAGTAAGCATACTAGACGAATACGAACACAAGGCCACTCCGGCACGGCAGGAAAAGCAGAAAATAGCCTCAGGCCGCGAACGTGTTGGCCTTGCCTAGGGGAACGTCAACGATGGCAATTTCGGCAGTGTCTTCGAGCTTTTCATCGATTTCGGTCGGTTGGAATGCATGCATGCGGGCTGATGCACACTAAGCATACCCGGAAGTAGAGCTCGAACATGACGACGAAATTGCCTTTGGAGACGTCGTTCCGGCATCGCTTTGCAGTTGACCACCCCACAATGGCACAATAGTTAACTGTCTCGAAGGAGGAAGAAAAGGAAAGTGGTTGGAAGAAAAGAAAGGAAGGTGGCGTTACCCGTGAAGTCCGCCCACTTCCTCCATTCTGCGGACAATGAAAAACTTCCTCGTATAACAATGATCCTATGACCTTGAAACTCCCCTCGCTCTTCTAGACACCATCGAGAGTTCCTGCTGCATATTTCGTTAATGAATTCCAGAATGTTTCTATTGGACTCCCCGCACCTTTTGCCGAGGAGCGTTCGGCGAGTTTTCTTCGGGAAGAATCATCCTAAATCCTCGAACCTCTAATCGATTTCGTGACACACTGCTAGGAGTTGTTGTTTCATCGACATCGCTCAACTCCTTAGGTTTGCAATTTCAATGGCGGATCGTATACATCTTTCCGCATGCAGGCAGAACATTTGGCATTGTTAAGGAGAAACACCAAAATATGCAAAAATACGCAACATGAATTCTGTGCGTCCTCAGCTGGGATCCACCTTACTTTTATTGGGAGTCGTAGTAGTAATATTGTCATGCACGTCGCGGTTTCACCTACTTCCCGATGTAGCACCGTGATCATAGGAACGTATGAGTTTCTCCAGTAGCAGGAACGGATGAGAATAAAGGAATTGCTCCAGTTGCAGAGTGGAGTACATTTACTACAAACTTAGGACCGCGTGACATGAAGTGTCACGTGTTCCTCTTCGCGACTTCCACCAAATCATCAAGAATTATTCCTCTCTTTTTTTGGTCTTCTTTTTCCCACCGTATATGACCTGAAGACCAGAAGTAGGGAAGGAGGGGCTTCTTTCGTGGGTCTACGACCCAAAGAAAGAAGCCCTACAAAGATGTATCGCAAAGGACAAGGTCGTCCCTTCCAGGCACGTGACTAAGAGAAGGTACTAAGAGAGAAAGAAGTGAAGGATTCTATGCATGAGTGAAATGAAAATATAAGTCGCATGCCTTCCCACTTGGATTCCATGGAAGGGGAGAATTCATCAATGAGGTGAAATGAGGAAGGCTTTCCATCACGATAAATGTGCGAAAAGGAAATGATAATAAACGCTATTGGAATCAAAGAGCATGAAAAACAAGAGAGGGGAGATTCGTCCATCGTGCATGCGTTGTATCGCATTCATACGGCCGTTTTGTTTCGTCTCTCACCACCACGTAGACGAAAGGCATGCCTCTTAGTCTCGCCAATACGATTATTATTATTCTTTCGTTCGGTTGAGAAATTTATGGAATGCTCATAAGTCACGGGTGGAGGGAAGAGGAAGAAAATCCAGAGTGGAAGGGTAGGTAGATCAGTTTCACTTTCACCCATTCATTCATGCATTCTTTCATCCATCTGTTGTTCCTTTCCTTTTTTCCCTGTCCTTCCCATACCCAACCCGCAACTGGATCTCCGCCCCCGACCTGTCACGATCATCACTTTTTCCCCTCACCCTTCCCTCCCTCTCTCATATAGTTAGTTATGGAGATCGGATCCTTCGAGGAATCGCGTGCGGATCGGTTTCACAGGGTCATATGAACAAGACGGATTCTGTATCACACGCCATTGTTCTCTCACGTGATTCCTCATATCACGGGTTCGATCGCCGAGTGGGATACAGAAGTCGATTTTCCAATGTGGGCAAAGGGCAGTGAGACCTTGTAGATCAGGGTCATTATCCAGTCTAGGTCCTCTTTGCCCTTGGAGAGTACAAGAACTGAATATCTCGCTTTTCCCCCCCCCCTCCTCCCCGAGGATCCTAGTGGCGTCGCACTTCAACCCTCCAAGTATTCAATCTATCCGGATCTAAGCTTTTTCTCTCTTAACCCATTCTTTCCTTTATCGGGATTCGACATGAATCGCCCTCTAAAAGGACGATCTGAAGACAGACGGGAAAAAAAAAGAGAACAGCTTTGTGGTGAGACTGACGGCTGCCTGCCTTGAAGGACGTCTATTTCCTTCCATTTTTTTCTCTTTCTCTTCTAGTCCGGGAAAGTGGAGGAAAAGTGGCCATATTCTCGTTCTCAGTCACCAGGTATTCACAGAGGATGACTCGGAATAAAAGACGACGATTGCAGAGAAAGTCAGCTCCATGCCTTAAACCAATCTTCATTGAGCACCTCAGTCGGACTAGGAAAGCCTCCTTGGGAGTCTTTTCAATAAAATTGGTCTTGGTTCGAATGGAACCCGGATTTTCTTTCCGCTCTGGAATCGATTTCCAGGATTCACGCCTCTTTCCCCCTCACCTCCGCCGACAAATGTGTTGCGAAATATCCTGTACCCTCTGCAGAAACCCCTGTTCCCCCCCCCCCCTCCCTTGTCCTGTTGCCAGCGCAAATCGATTGATTGGAGTGAAGGTGGACGAAAGGAAAACGAAGAAATTGAAATCCTCAAACAGGTGTCGTCGAAAATGAAGTAGTTCCTTTCTAGCCGTTGAGAGGAGATCCACGCTTAATAACATCCTGCCCTGTTTCCAGAAGGGGAAAGGTATTCCCTTGACCATGATTGTGCATACGCTTTTCTCTTCTGACTCTCTCTCTCTGGGTATAATGAATCTCATTTCACTTCACTCCCTTCAGCAGATGGTCCTGGGGGATTTTTCGTCGCGAAACAACTTTCACTATCGGGGAGACCGAGACTTACACGGTCAGTATGTTGGACGGACTCCGACTCGGAACCACACCGTTACTTCTACATCCTCCCTCACGCACTTTCACATGCCCGCAGAGGATGACGTCACGGGATCCGCCTATCGATTGAAGGAGCGAGGCGAGTGAAGAGAGTGTGAAAGAGAGAGATCCACATCCCTCTCATGCTCCGACCAGGGCCAGTTCTTCCCCGAGTGTGTACTGTACAGTGACAAGGTCGCTGCTTTCCTCGAGATTCTTGGTGCCTCTCGCTTAATCTGCCTATTTCCTTCTGTTGCAGGTCATTCGTATCAGGCGAGGGGTATGCCAGACGTCTTCGCGTAGCTCATAGTTGGAGTTCCCGAACGTTTGAGCTTTCCCCTCGCAACTGAGATGATGATAATCAACAAAGTGAATGTTAATGCCATGACCCTGAGGCTTGTGTTCGTGTTCTTCGTGGGGTGCTTGGAAATGTGTTCCTCGTTGACGTGGGGTGCGGACTTGCACGGGAGCGACGAATTCACTCAAGCCGCCGTCAATGTCTCTTATATCGATTCTTGGACGGGGGAAGTGTTTCGCAGTGAATTCGGAGAAATTGCGCGTTATGGGAATGGGAAGATCGGAGAAGCGGGTGGATACCTCCTGGTCCCGAATCGAACTCATTTACATGGGTGTGACTTCCCGTGGGGAATTCCTCATCTCCCGCAGCCTGACACTACCTGGATCGCTTTTGTCCAGAGGGGCGGCTGTAATTTCGACGAGAAAATAGCCAATGCAGCCAGGATGAACGCCTCCGGCATCATCGTCTACAATAACCGAGATGACGGACTCCAGAAAATGCATATTAGCACCAATCTCAGTGAGTCCCTCCACGATCAATGGCCATCTTGTGCACTGTTGCTTTTTTGTGGGGGGTTGTCGAGATTGGAAGCAATGTGGGCAGCTTGCCAATCTCGCTTTTCCAGAGGAATCTACCCTCGATTAAAGAAAGGAAAGAAAAAGGGAACGGGGGGAAATCATCTTTCAGCCTGCTCTCCCAGGCCTCGATGAAAAGAAACGAAGGAAAGGGAAAAATGGCATGCATCAACAACCGAACAACGTGGTGTCTCGCTTCACCGATTCTATATGACTGAAGCGAGGCGTAGATTGCTTCATCATTCATATTTCACTCCCGGGGGGCTGGTTGGATTATGTGAGAGGAATAAGAGGGCCAGTGTGGTGATGATCATATTTAGTCACGACGAGGGCTTCGTCAGCGACTGGATGCCTTTCACCGAAAAAAAATCTCAGGATCGGTTTGGCAGATAAGGGATCGTGGCTTTCCCTTCCACACCTCGTCAGTCGATATGTAGATGGAGTTAGACGGACAGAACTAGATGCGGAGATGAAATGACGTCATGGAGCCTCTCCCCTCGGGGGTAAGGAGTAAAAAAAGAAAGGAATCCTTATTTCAAGGACAGGATGAGGATGATGCGAGTGCAACGAACCAGACGAGTGCATCCGCATCCAGATGCTTTATTTCTGCTAGAATGAATCTCAGCCTCATCCGATCCAATCGCAGATTCTTTTTCTCTAATGCCACCAACTGGAATCGATCGCCTCCCCGCAATAGCAACGTCTCTTCTATCGGATTCTGTGCAATAAAACCCCATCAGTGAGTTGTTTTCCGGGCAGAAAAAGGACAATGGTTGCTTTTAATGGATTCTGTCTTCCTTCCTCCTGAATTCAAGTAGTGAATTGGAGCGAGAGGAAAGGTTGACCGAAAGGGAGTTGTACTCTGTAGGAGGAAGAATTCGTGCGTGACATTCATTCTCTCACGTCACTGTGATGCAATACGAGGTTTTTCACTCGATCCAGAAGCCCTTCCTGTAAGGGCGGTTGATACGGTGTATCTCTGAAGGACGAACGCTAGAGTAAGGAGGAGGAAGAAAATAATCAGAAGATATTCTTGCATTCATGAGGGAGTTCCCTGCTGTCGGAAGGACCAAGGATGATCCAAGGCCGAGGTCAACGACGTTACAGCCATACCTGCCCTCTTAGACTAATAATATTCCCAACCCCTCGCTTTTTGTATGCTTTGGGTCTCCACGGAGGGAGAAGGCGAGAGGAAGCATTGCCTCGAGTTTTATGGACAATTGTGTGGACCCTGTGGACAGAGAAAGCATGGTTTCCCCAAATCTCCACCACAAAAGTTCTCTCCTTTCGAAACGATGGCCCAATACTCCCTTGATAACAGACATTCCCACATAATCCTCATTCTCGACTTCTTTTTTTTTATAACGACCAGGGTTCCGCCGGATGGAGCCATGATAGAGATCTGTATTCCTTGTTGCACTGTTACGACTGTCATTGGATGCGAGGGTATATGGCTTGATGATAATTTTTCTGGCGATCCGCCTTTCCGCATCCAATCGGCAATCGTGTTATGTTGCGCAACTCTTCATCCGTTCAGCACGTCTGGCAGTCACCCTCCTTAGCCTCATCGGGCTTCCCGCCCTTTCCTTGGAATGGGCCTTTGAAACAAGGGGCATAGAAGGGATTCTTAATTGCGACATCACCCCGCATTGACCGCAGGTGCATCGAAGCATGTCCCTCCTCGTTTTTGTCTTCAGCGTCACCTTGCCGTCGCTTCTAATTGAGTCATGGGGCTACTCATCTATCCTGGGGTTCTGACGTAAATCCCACGGTTCGCTGAGGGGGCGAACGAGGGAAACTAGGTCAAGCGAGTTTGTGTCCTCATTCCCAGCTACGCTCTCACTTTCGTCGTCTTTTTCTGTTGCATCTGATGAAGTAGGATTTCACAGGAGGATTTTTTTATTCAAGTGGGAGAAGGAAAATTCGAAACAATGGCAATTAAAATGAGATGAATTGTATATAATGTGCTGCAGAGGAGAAGTTGGTGGCAGTGTTCGTGACGAGGGAGAAGGCGAGGGATTGGGTGGTAGCTCTCGAGAATGGCACCAACCTCTGGGTCCACATCTCCGTCGGAACTCACTTCTCCTATCGGGAATTCCGCAACATCAACAGGTACCTCATTCTCTCTCCCACTTACCTGAAAACGTTGAAGAGAGCGTAAAAAGTTCCTCATGTCCAAACTGGTGCAGCTGGATCCCCTCATTTTGTTCGGGGATCCCTTTTCCGCGATGTCGGACCTTGTGAGTTCAGAAACAAATAAATTTAGAGACACGTATTAGGTTCCCTTGCACTTATTCAACTCCCATGTAGGATTTTTCTCATGTCCATTTGAGGAAAGAAGGGAAAACTGTACTTGTACAGTAATAGTTCAGTTCTGTAGTAATGGTAGTAATGATCTTAGTTATGGATTGAATCATCCATTATTGGATGATTTGGGGCGTTATTTCTCATTGGAGCTGTTGATATTGCAGGACTTCCATCTTGTTCGTGTCTATCTCATTCATTGTGCTCATGGTCATCAGCCTGGCCTGGCTTGTTTTCTACTACGTTCAACGTTTCCGATACATTCATGCCAAGGACGCGCTTGCTGTGAGTCTCTCTCACTCTCTCCCTCCCCTTTCATACACAGCATTCTTGTAATTCTATGCGTTATCTGAAAGATGAACTTCCTGGTGTTTCTATATGACCTTTGAATAATGCAACAAGAGGATGTATTTTCATTTTCCACGAGTAACCGGTTTTTCGATCGATACGAAGCTGATTCAGTCCCTCTTTCCTCGTTTCCCTCCATTTGGATTATTCTCTCTCTGTCCTTGTTCGTTGATCGAGCCCCTCCCCCCCCCCCTCTTTTATCTGGTTTCTGAGGGAAGCTGATGCTGATCATGGGTGAATTTCGGGAGTCTTAACAGATTTTGTAATTCATGCTTCATGGATTTCTTCACGCTTCAGTGCGACCCAAAGTTGACATCAGACGTCACCACATTCTGTATTTATATGACTTTGCTTTCATTTCCATCCAATGGTGCTTAATTTAAATCGCGTCGCGACTTTGTCTACAAATGAAGTAAGTAGGTCTTGTTTTATTTTGTTCATACACCGTTGAAAAACATCTGCATTACCAGTGTCGACCACAGTGTAGTGTAGTGTAGTCGACAACAGTGTAGACCACCGCATGCCACTGCCTGAAGGTTACAGCTGATAACACCTTTTTGAGCATCACGACCAATATATGATATTATATGACCAAGTACGTTTTGAGATCTGTGTACATGAGGAAGGCAGACCCAAAGTTTTCAGTTCCTGCATTGCATGTGAATACCACCACTACAACCTAGCATTCAACCATGATGCAGCCATGAGTCTCCTTGCGATTGTTCTCCTTTGACTTCCTGTGCTGTGAAAACCATTGTGATGTAGTTGACAGTGACATCAAAAAACTAAATCGTTTACCTTTGGCAATATGGTATGCGATAAATAATAGCACTTTCAAGGTTCAGGGTGCATGTATTACACCTGGAAAACATGGGAAGTGACTGAATCCCTGTCTCCACACTCAAGATGATCAGGAAATTATAAGAATGATAAATGTCCTCAACAAAGAAGGCTTCTAAAGGCCCCCAAGAACCAGATACCTTGATTGGAATTATTTGCAGGTAAGGCTTTGGATGTTAGGCAGGAAAAAATTAGCTCCAAGGGACACTTCAGCCCTTCTCTGAGATTGCCTGAGCTTCTTCAGCTTGCAGGGAGAAATGAGCAGTGCCAGTTACATTGTTGACTAGTAGAAAATTTTCAGATTCCTCCAATTCTCACCATACAAATGCAGACTTCAACCCCTATCAAGCTGATCTGGACTGAATGTTGCCTTAAATCATGTGACTTTTCAGGCTTCAGAATTTTTAGAATCTTTTTAAGAAGTGGTTCAGCAAAACTGAGGGGGAAAAAACACTGCATCTCATCATCAGCATCAAATCTGAAAGCTTCACCAATTGAGAGGAGGAATCTGATGTAAAAATCAGTGGATAGTTGCTGATACACTTATGAATAGAATTTGATTATTGAAGGAATTTAGATCTTCAATTGATTTATGATTACTGTTATATTTGTACTCATGGGCAACAATTTCATTTTTGCTCAATTGTCTAACAACTCAAGAAAATTGCACGACATTGCAGCATTATCATAATTGATAACAATATGATCTCCATCTGTTATTCTTAAAAGCTTCTTGTAGTCACTTTTGATAGCCAGCTCCCTTGGGATGCACATTCACAACACTGCAAAGTCTGCTGTGCCCTTGGCACACTTATACATAATAAGGCCTTTCTCCCTTCACCAGCAGTGACCTGGCTATACAAAACCACAGTCCATCCCAACGTGTCTGTCCACTCTGGGGAGGCACTCCATCCACAAGCCTTTCCCTTCCCAATATAACTCAGGCGTGCTTCCTTGAGATATTCAGCATCAATATCCATTCAATATAACTCTGTTATGACTGTGTCACTGTCTTCTACTTTTTAAAATCCATTTTTCTCTTCCTAAGACATCCTCATGCAAGATGAGAATATTGGTTTCTGCAAATTTTTTCTGTAGAAACCAAAACAGTCCAAGATCCAAAATAATATCCACCCTTCTCTCATAAAAAATGGATCAGTAAGGGATTCTGTCCTGAATGAGGTCATCTTTCCATTGACTCTCCAAAACTACAAAAGGAGCAACTTTCTTTTTCTATGCACTTAGGCTACCAACAAAACCATCATGTACTGATCCCTTTTCTGTGAATTTAAAAAAACATTACTGGATTCCTTTTGATTATAAAAAAATGTTACAAAGAAAAGCTTGAGAAGGCAGTTATCCTCCTGTGCATTGTGCCAGCACCATTAGCTGAAGTAGTCAGGCATTCAGAAAAACTCCCTGTGAAAATACATGACAAGACCCATTACTTTTCCCCACATTGAGTGCCCTTGAACAAAGGCTTCTTACTGTGAAAAATGAGAATGGATTAAAAACATTTTACTCGCTTTTTCTTTTTGACAGAGGCGACTATATGGAGCGGCAAAAAAGGCACTTGCAAGCATCCCTCTCAGACACCTCAAAGCTGCTGACAAGGTGAGCTATTGTCACATAATGTTTGGTTTGATATTGTTGGGTTAAAAATCTGATTATATATTAAAAAAATCAACTTACAAGGTGCATTTAGAAAGTAGTGATGGCTTCATCTTTCCAAGAGTAGCACTGTAATGCAGAGTGCTTTAATAGCTATGTTTCTTGTGTGAAGTTTCAGCTTTGTATCTAATTTCATTAATTTTGTAAAGAATTCTGAATCCTATACATACCTGAGTTGCAGATCTGGAACAACCTGAATCAAGTTACTTGAAAACTTTCTTTTTGCATTCAATCTTGAAAAATTGCAACATGTCCAACACCATGATTTTGAGCAGTGCTGCCCTCTTTTTTTGAATATAGAAAGCATTGGCTGAACCAAAGGAACTGGAAGGATAAAAACATTGCCTCAGGATTTTGATGTTTGGTATAGATATAAGGTTAAATACAGTTGGTTGAATCAACTATTAATTGATTTCTCTAGAGAATTAACTGGTTGTTGAAGTACAAAGGGTTAAAATTACAATAGCAATAGGTTTCCTGAGGTAAATTCCTAATGGAATTGAATCACCTCATATCAAACTGAGAATTTTTGTACCATTACATAGACTGGCAGGCCGACAAGCAGTCGTTGTTGATGTAATATTGACAAATAATAGTGGGAAAATTGAAAGTGACTGAAAGGGGGGGTGAAATTTTTTTTTCTTCTTTTCCTCCTTCAGTTCAGCCTTGCTGCCAATATTTTTAAAATTAATTTTCATCTTGAAAACCAATAATGACCCTCAGTTAAAGGATGACTCAAGGATGGAAAAGTTTTAATTATCAAAACATCTCTGAGAAACAAAGTCTAAAGAAAAGGTTTTGATGTATCTAGATGCTTTATTGCATGGCATCTTTAAGTGGCATGACCTGGAATGGTAGGATGAATTGGAACAGATTTTGACTTGCAAGTTTATATTACTTTCTCTTAAGTAATTTAATTAATTTTTGCTCATGAGCAAAGGGAAAGATTTAGCAGGTTGCAATATAATTTCACTTTGAGTGGCTGTTGAAATTTGAAATCATTTTCAGGTTGCAGCACCATTCCAAGTCCTCTCAACCTTACAGTATGAATGATTACAAATTCATCATGCAATACAATTGCTCTAACTTAGAAGCTTCTGTGCCTCTTCCAATGCAGGAAGTCCAAGGAGAGGGAGAATGCTGTGCAGTCTGCATTGAGCCTTACAAAGTCCATGATATTGTTCGTGTTCTCCCATGCAAGTTAGTATCAATGTCCCAAGGAAATGGGCCCCTTATTCTTTTTTAATTCTAAGCATTCTGGTCTCTGGTCCCATATGTACTGCATTCTCCATTTATGCTCCCAGGCATGAATTTCACAAATGCTGTGTGGATCCCTGGTTGATGGACCAACGTACATGTCCCATGTGCAAGATGGATATACTCAAGTACTATGGACTCATTGTGAGTTTCTAAACTGAATTCAGATTTGGATGGGATAAGATGGCTACTTTGATGACAATTCTATTATTACAGTTCACAGGAAGTCAGGAAAGCATTTTACATATGGACATGGAAGATCTGGTGACATCTGCTTCAGATGGAGAGCATCATCCACAGATGACTCATGTAATTGTGGCTACAGCAACTGGATCCAACAGGCGAGGAGGGAACAGTACTGGTCAGGAATCCCAGGGTCACCATTCCCATCACTCTCGCCGGCATCACAGTCATCATCACCCTCGTCGCCAGCAACACAGCCATCAGTGTCAAACTTCAAGGATATCTTCCTCTTCCTCCCCACCCTCTCCTGTGTCTTCAGATCCCTCTCCCAGGAGGCACATGCCTCGCAGAGGTCTGGTTGTTAAAATTTGGATGTACACCTTAAAATGCATATAGAGGAACAGCAAAAAGCTACCAACACTTCATAGAGCAAAAGGCTCTCATATCGCTCACAATATATATATATTTCCTTTTTCAGAGAGCTCATCAAGCGTGTCTCAAGAGATGCTTTTGCCAGTGGTCCAGGTGAGACCAGAAGCAAATGATTCTTCGACTCAGACTCAAGATGCAACTCAGTCAGATGCGTGAGAGAGAGATTTTCAGTGATTCCACATTTTCTTCCTTTTGTTTTATTTCACATCTCACAACTAGTCACAGATGAGAAGGTGTGAAACTGTGCATAATTGAGTGAAACAGTGTCAGCTTCCAAGAAGTGTAATGGGCAGCTACTGGTGGCACCACTTCCAAGAAGATCTGTGCCACCTACTTGTATGAGTGATGGGAGTGACAGCTGCTGACTGGGCTGTGATAATGTCTGGTTGATTGGATCAGTGTGATTCGGAGACTACTCATTCAAGGAAATAATATTAAAGCTCCTTGACGTCATCAAAATCTCATTCATTCCATGTATTCATTCCTCTTTTATAGGACACTGCAAATTCCCAGATCTCTACTCCAGAAAAAGAAGAAATTCTTCACAGAATAGGAAAAATATGGCACATTCTGGGAAAAGAGCATGATCATCAATGAGAAACATAAACAGTCTTCCCATTCCACCCGCATTCAAGAGTTATCTTAATATTCACAACTCACAGCAACTTGCCCCTACAATAGACAAGCTCCAAGAGGATATAAAAAGCAGAGGGAAAGGACTCAGAAAAACTTGCATGTTGAAAGCCCTAATAGATTCTTCCATGACTGCTAAGGAAGAAGCAAAACATATTATAAATTTCCTATTATTTTCCCCCCATGGATGCCCAAGCACTGTGAATAAATGTAAACCTGTCAGCATTGATTTGTGCCCAAGCACAAGAACTGTATTTCCTGATGAACTTCAACTGGTTCTTGTAAAAAAAAAATAATGAACATAATTTTTTTAAAACAGCAGCGAGAGATTTATTGATTGAAGGAACTCAACCAGAGGGTGGAGAACAAAGCATCTGATCTCATGCTTCCATATGTATACTGCAATCCCAACAGTCCTGTATCCCTTTTTGCATCCTATTTTCTCCATGACTACATAATGCCAGTGAAATGTGAAAAATATCAATGGAAAACATCCTCTGCAACTGGACAGCATCACTTTCACAAATGAGTCAGCTAATGAATATAAATCCAGGAAATTGAAGCTGGGTAAGAAAAAAAATGTTGCCCATTGATGCAGAAAGATACATTCCCATTTCTGAAAGTAAGAAAGATGGGCTTCAGTTGCTTCTGCAAATGATGAGGGATTAAGAGAATACAGATTGGGCATAATTGACTCAAGATGGCTGAATGGCTTTCTCATGGTTCTACCATCCAATGTAAGTGTGATAACACATCTATCTCCTGAAGTAATGCAAAAGTGCTATCATTTCATCTTAGAACAAATAAATTTTTCACTTATCTGTAATGTAACACTGAACGTAAAAGCTTGGGAATTATTTGAATGCAGAATGGAGATACAAGGCCTTTGGAGGGCAGTGTTAAAGGAGATATGGCTGGAGTCAGGTGGACCCCATTACATGCATGACAATTGAGCCAGTTAATGCAAACAAGACTGAAAAACAAGCCTAACACATTTTGGTAAAAAGAACAAAACAAAAAACATTACCAATTAGGGTATAAAAAATAATAGACAAAGAATTTTTGTACATTCCACAGGAATCAGGGAAAGAATAGAGCAAGGAGTTACATTGATGTCCCTCACCTCTAGTCACATCCCCTCCCTGTAGCCAACAAGCAATGGATAACATTCATCATAGCACAGGACACAGCTCTATTCCTTGTTCATTTTGAAAACTGGAATGAAAATAATTGTTTACTCAACTATGGTAGCTTATTTTTTTAATATGGAGTCATGCTTGCCACTCCATGATTCTAACATTGTAAAAAAAAAGTATGATCTTGGGAGGCTTGGAGCACATCAGAATTGGAAAAATCAAATAAAAATGGAAAAAAAAAAAAATCCAACAAGAACTTCAGTTCTGGTCAGGGTTCTTTCCTTTTTGTTTGAGTATTGAGTAGTGTTTGAGTGCTTCGTCTCAGGTTGCATTTTACCCAGAAATAACAAACTAACATTTGCCTTATTTCAAGGTCCAAGTGAACCCAAAGTAAAGGTGTAAAAATCATCTGTCATCAGATTGTGACGATACTTCAATTTTATATGAAAAGGGTTAACAGTCAAGTAGTCAGTTTAACAATTCAGTAATCATTGATCATTGCATTTACTTTTTCTAGATTGTGATTACTAGAGCAACCTGTAGAAACCTGAGACTCAATATTTGTTGTTCACATATGGCAGACAGTGGATCCAAGGATACCACAGTGTGTAATACTTTAATAAAACTACATTTTATTGAAATATGAATGAGCACCAAATTGTTCAATGTGGTGACCTCCATTTGATAGCATACTGGCCATTGGCTACAAAACAAAATTACCTATTGCAATACCTAGCATGAGAAAAAAAAGCACTGTTGGGATTGTTCATATCTGAAAATCTGTCAAAGCTGCAGCTGTTTATGTTCCAACAGATATGTATCTACATCTTGTTTCTATTAGGAATTTCTTTTTTCTGAGCATTCACAACACTGATTTATTCACTTCAAAGCACTTCAAAGTTCAAAAATAAATTACTTGGAAATCCCCACTCATCCAAAGAAACTCACTGAAAGTAATGCATGGTGGACTGTCCTTGTGCCTGGACAACAGCATTCAGTTGCAGTTTCCATTGAAGAATATCTCTTTGAATGAAGTCAGTGTACCTCTCATCCAAAACACACTTTATTGCAGCTCTGTCTGCCTTAGACAGCACCATAATTAACCTTTTCTACTCCTTTGTCATGTCCCATATGACAACCACTGCCAAACTTTTATTTTCCAGCAATCCTCTCCAGTCCATTATTGTTTCTTGCACCAGTGAGAACTCAAGGAAAAAAATTCAACTTAGTGAACTAAGGTTACAATTTTGAAAATGAGCAATTTTGGTGCAATTTCAATTGGAGCCAGTTATGTATCATGTTGCCAAAAATTTTGGAGTGGAATGGGTTAAAATTGACACAATGGACAAATTGGTGTGAAAGCTATCAGGTGTACTGACTCTCAGCAAAAGAATGAAGGGTGGGGATTTCAAAATATTTCAATTGTGATCTTCAAAGTGCTCTTATGGCTAAACCAGGAGGAAAATTCTTGAAAATTTTTCTATGGAAGACAAGATGCAAGTACACACATCCCAGAACATGCACAACTATGGTAATGATTGAGTTTCAGATATCACAATTCAAACCATGGGGCATTTTTTTCTCGGAATCTGGTATATTAAACTTTTAGAGTATATGAGAGGTGTTATCTAGTGGGGCAAAATGAAAACATTAGGACTTTCAGTCCTGTCTTCTCCTGGATGGGAGGTCCATGAGGAAAGGTAATGCAACATGAGAGAAGCACAATTATAAAGAATAGAATTTAAGCTTTCATTACAAAATATAAATACAATAATTATTCTGTCCTGTGTAGAAAATGCACTTAAAGGGCTAAGCTGGACTTTCTGGATGCAATATGTACTGGGTGAGACATAAAAAATGTATATTGGTTTGAGATTCTTAGATATACATAAGAAAGCAATTAGAGCAGAAAACTTTTTCTTATAATTACTTTTATTTACCCTGTAAAGATCCTAAATTCTTTGTTCGTTTCTCTCAAGCTATTTTACCCCATCAGTGATTAAGGGAGCAACTCAGATTTTTTTCTTGCAGTCACACTTTGACTTTGACCTTTGGACCTGTGTCACTAACATGGAGTGATGTTTCATTTGAAGGCTTTTTTTTCACTCTGAAATTCAGAATTTGCTGAATGGACCTCTCTGACTCATCCCAATATCTCTAGCGATTTTCAACAGGGGCTTTTGTATCCCTGGATTACATCTTGAGAAATAATACTGTCTGCACAAGCAGTTTCATCAGTATAAGCTAATTTTGGTCAGGACTCCTTTTCTTTCTCACAGATGAGCAAGTTTCTCAAAGCTCTTTAATCAATCTATTAGCAGTACATTTCTTCCATTGTTTAGCTAGAGGGATTCTTGCCCTGCTCCATCCTTTCTCTAAGCAACAGGGTTAGATCACTGCTTCATCTTCTATGGAGAACTCCATTTTTGCTGACAGAAGCAACAGCCTGAAACTAATGTGAACTACCTGTGCTAACCCATTTTCTGTTGATACTTTTCCCTGCATAAAAAATAAAATTCAAGTTGTCTTTGTAAAATTGCTCATATGGTAAAACATAACTACCATTTGAAAAAACACTTCTCAAAGGGAGGGATTCAGGGAAGGATCAACCACCACTCAAGGGTTTATAAGGCATGTGTATAACATGCAAGAGAATCATTATGGTTCGAGGCTGTAACAAAAAAAGAGTACACCTTCATCCTGTTCCAGGATTGAGCTTTAGAACTAAATGATGCTTCTGTGAGCGATACCAAAAATGATAAATATACAAGATGCATTCAAGAAGTTGATAACATTACAATTTTATATTACATGGTGGGCATCAATATTGTGTTGATACCGATTACTTTTGGACATTAAGCTGTTATTTTTTGTTGTAAACAGCATGTTAATGTCCCCAAAAGTATTTTGGACAAAGAATGAAAAAGGAGAAAAGCTCACAAACTTGTGTGGGCAAACATTTCATAGCCAAGGTACCATGAGTTCAACAATTTTTCAGTATGGTGAGCAAACTTCTCAATAAAAATTTGCTCCTAAAAGTGGATCAAAAGATAATAATTTTGGGTGGTGACAAGTATGGAGACTATTCTGAAACATGAGATAATTTTGAACAAGAAGGCATTTGCTAGGGTTCAAGAAAAAATTATTGACAAGACCTTTTTGAATGCACCTTGTACAAAATCCTTTTAGCTGCTTTGAATAATGATTTGGATGATGAATAGTTTCAGAGGAAATGAGGAAAATCTGATGAGTTTTTTCCTATAACTGAAAAAATTTTCCCTTTAGCTCCTAAGGAATATAAGTAGCAGGCAACCTCTATCAAGAGACACACTGGTTAAAGATATTGTTCTTAGTTCACTTGTGAATACTCATTTACGTTCCTCATCTTCCCTTGATTGTGAACTATGAAAAAGCAAGATGATCATGGTCACTGTCCATTAAATTCCTGATGCCAGTGTGCAATTAATTGGTTTCTCCTATATGTAAAAGCAAAAATGTTATCAATCAGCCTCATTATATTTAACAAGATTGTCAGAGGGGAAAGGTGCCACCAGTTGCAGACTATTGGATACTTTAAGCATTGTTCTCACCATTTACTAGCAACATTAATCAAAAGAGGAAAAGGTACTACTCCCCTGAAACTATCATTGTGGAACAGTGCAGCTCAAATTGTGACAAGATGGTTACAGAAATACCTTCACAATGGTTGGAAATAAAAATCTGCAAGACTCTTAAATGGAGTTTTTTGCACTGGTATTTCTTTTTGCATAAAGCAGTGAGAACATCATCATAATGGGAGCATGAGGTAATTGACAAATGATTCTGCCTGAACAAAAATGCTGTAGGCATAAAACTGATACAGAATTTTTCCCTCAACTTGACCTACATTACACTAAACACTGCACTATCCTCTAACAATGATTCAGGCTTTCTTTAGGTTCTGGATGGAGTTGAGATAATCTCCAGTCTGCTACTCTGGAATTCAGCTAGTCAAGGCACATAGATAGGTACAACAAGATTGGAACTGTAAAAGGACAAGCACAAGAACACAAGGCATCCTCAAGATGTTAAAGGGTAAAAAACAAACAAACCCTTGCCTTGCCCCCAACATGGAGAGAAACAATATCAGAATTTATAAAGACCATTGCTGTGAAAGTGGAAAAGTTATGGAATGCATGACTTGTAGCATTGATAAAATAGATAATTGAACAGAATCTTGAGAACTGGAAGAGAATCAATCACTTTACATAAGCATAAGCTTAGAAAGTGAGGTTACCAAGCACAAGACCAGAAACCACAGATGCATTAGTTGTTGAAGTACTGATATTATTTGATGTAGAGATGGGGGTAGACATTGTAATTGGTTGCAGTTGCCCTGTTTCCTCTTTCATGTGGCACATTCCCAGGCATCTCTTCCTCCCACACTTCAAGCAAGGTTCATGATGGTTTAACTTAATACCCATACGCTTGAGGAAGGATTTGGCCCAAGTTGGATTCAACATCACTGGTCCACCATGCTCTTCCAGCACATGTGGTTCATATTGCATGAGGATTTGCTTAGCTGTAGCAATCACCACCAATGTGCTCACTTTCTCTCCATTCTTCATCATTTCACGAATGCAATCTTGAACAAGCTCATCGTATTTGCCAAGTCGAGTGGGACGACCCCGAGGGAGCCGCTCCAATTCTGTCACCTCCGACATCTCCTGAGTCTGCTGACTCAAATATTTATCACGTAAACCTCGGATGGTGCTTTCTGGGATCTCCAGCCCATATGCTTCCTTGAAATGCACCATCGTTTCCATGCTTCCATGTTCCAAGGCATAGCGACCCACTTCTGCTCGAATCTCTGGTGGATATTGGGTGTATTTTCCCCGAATGCTTCCTTGAATTGGTCGCTTACTTCTCTTCCCTCCCTTGGCAGACTTTTCAAGAACAGTCTTTGGAGTCTGTGTAGATGAAGGCTCTGAAACTGAAGACAGAGTCTCTCCAGCATCAGGCACCTTGTCTAATGTTTCTCCTGATGATCCTGGTCCCATTGGCTTGGGAGTGTGTAGCATCACAATGGAATTTGACTGCTCTTCTCGCACAACCACTTCCTGAGTAAGTTCTGGTTGTGTTTCTTGCTGTTCCTGATTGTGGCCAACTTCCCGAATAGACATAGAAGGTCCTGCTGTCTCAAAAGACAAGCTTGTGCTGATAACTTGAGTCTGCTGGGATTGTTGAGATGGTGGTGGTTGTTGTCCTCCATGATTCCCCTGGTACTGAGGGACATATGTGACTTGAACTGGGATATGATGTTGGGTTTGTCCTGGGGCATTCAAGTCCGCTGTTGAGACATTCACATTAACTCCTGGTTCTGATAAAGGAGTCAGTGCAAAGATATGTGCTTGCTGGTTTGCTGGGACTAAGTATGCCTGCTGGAATGAAGTTCCTTGACCTACAAATGCCCCCAATGTCTCCTGATGTTCCTGAGGATGATGGTGATGGTGATGAAGTTGCTGCTGCTGTTGTTGTTGTTGTTGTTGTTGTTGTTGCTGTTGTTGTGACTGCTGTTGCTGAGATGGCTGCTGTGTCCCTTGGCCAATATATGCAAGATGTCCCACTAGCTGTGGGTTCTGCATGGCATTGGAAGGGGTCTGAGGATTCCCAAATGCATGCAAATTCACCATCTGCCCAGGGTAGCCTTGCCCATACAGCATTCCTGAAGCATTTGATGTTGTGGATGAGATTGGGCTGTTAAGGACATGCAGGGATGTCTGAAGGATGTCCATGCCTTGATTTGGCTGGCTCATGTTCAGATCACCAATGGTGATGGATGCTGGGAATCCATCCTGCTGCAAAATGGTAGCTGTACTCATGTGATGCTGTCCTCCATGTCCATGTCCTTGCATCACAGTCATCTCTTGCATCCCTTTCTTCTCTTGAAAAGCCTTCCTGAACTTCCTTACCACACTCTCTTTGAGGTACCAGCGAGACTTCTGCCAGAAGTGATCAATTGTTGCCATTACCCCATGCTGAAGGGCATATTGACCAATGAGATCCTTCTCAGTTGTAGTGAAGAACTTCTTCACCTTGGATGGATCAAGGGTGACAGAATTAAGTCCTCCCCCACCTTCTTTCCTGCCTGAACCTCCAGGATTTAGTTCTGGATGAAGGGAAATATAATACTTCTTGAATTTTGCAACAAGGCCCTTGCAGAATCTTCCTCCCAGCTTCTCTTCATACTGCTTCAGTGCTGCCTCAATTCCATGCTCATGAGCATACTTCCCTATCTCTTCTTTCACTTGAGGAGTGAAGTGACGATGAAATCTGACAAAGTTTCGGACAGTGCTCTCACTGATGGATGAACCCAGCCTCTCTGAGTAGACTTTGACAGCTTCCAAGATCCCATGTGTCACAGCATATTCAGCCACTTCATCTCGCAACTCAGCTGAATAACGCTGATACTTCCCTCGCTTAGGTCGTCTCTTGGTTGCAGTTGCAAGGAGGGCTTTAACAGCACATATAGTTGTTTGTGTCAATTCCTTACGCTTCTCTCCAGTTGGTATTCCTTCACTTGAACTGCTCAGATATGCATGATGCTTTGATGCTGAAAAAATCAAACCACCAAATCCATCCAACTTCAGTTTTAAGAGATTTCATGACTAAGTCCAAACAAGCTTACCTCTGGCAATGTTAGCTTTTCTCCTCTTCAGATACATCCTCCTGGCTGCATCTTGAGCAGAACCCCAGGAACATGGAAGTTCTCCTTCTAGCATTCCTCGTCGCCTTGCTTCCTCAGTGTGCTTCCTCTGATGGATCCGGAATGATATTTTGGATGTGAAGATTTGTGAGCAGTGGCGGCACTGTCAAGTAAGATGCACACAACAAATCTTTTTAGGCCAAAAAACACAGGCAATGAAGCACATGTCATCTTTCAAGGAGAAGGAAATCATACCTGCAGAGTACTACTCTGCAGTCGTCGTCGATTGGAAGGCACTTGTTCTTCAAGCTCATGGTTCAACTGTGCCAATTTCACCTGATCTTCAGTGGAAATAAAACCAGTAGGGTTTCGACCAAACATCATGTAGAATGGTGACTGATGCAATTCAGAGCTCTTTTGTGTCCGATACTGAAAGAGGAATTTGTCTAATTCCTCATCCCATGTGCTTGGATGACCATTTGCAAATGTATCCATCATATCCTCAGCCCAAGAACAAAGTGTGGAATTCTCTTGAAGGGTGAAGAGGAAGCTTTGCTGGGATTCCTCACTTTCAAATGGATGGCCCAGCTCCGTAAATGTATCACGCATCTGATCAAATCGTTCCCGATATCGAACCTGCATCGTTTCAAAGAGCTCCGAAGAAAAGCCCACCATGCAGCATTGAGCAAATCCAAGTGTGCAGAATGTTTCAAATAGGTAGTCAGCTGTACGCACACCATGAGTTGTGGCTGGTATTGCTTGAGCAGAGATCCATCGAGAAAATGGGTCCACCATTGCAATGATGTACTCATTTTCATGCACAGTCTTGGAATATGGCCCATAGATTCTCACCTCAATCTATAGACATACAAAAGCAATCAATATGCAAACAATACCATGATTTTATAACCACATTTTGCCACATTAAAAAGATCAAATCTTAGTGCTGCAAAGACAGACATTTAAATAAATAAATCATTCCTGGCTGCGAGGTATTTCTATGCCTGACCTTCTTCCAAACTTTTGCCAATCGATCAAGGACTCCAGTCTGCTCAGGTGGCACATTCTCCTTATTGTATTGAGATAAGACACTGGCCAGTCTGGTTCGCTTATGACTCTCTTCCTCAGCACAGACCTCGCAGTCTCGCACATAGCGCACCAGATCCACAAAATATCCACGCCAATAATAGTTCCTTGATATTTGCCGCTGCATTTTCCTAGCTGGAACATGGGTGCCTGCAATGGAAGCATATGCAACACCTGGAATGTTCCTTCTTCATGGCACAGAGCTCAACTCCTGAGTGCCTAGCACTGAAGTACCTAGTCCTAATAAGAGCAATAGGTTCTACACCATAGTAGGGAGGATGCATACCATCAACTTGAACATGGAACGTTTCAACAATTTCCTTCTGTTGCTCCTTGTCTGTGACAACTTTCTTTGGGTTTTTGTGTCCATAATAGAGCTCCCCATCTACAACCTGAAACAAATGAGCTTTTCTCAGCATCTGTTTCAAGGAGTACTAGGAACATAAAATAAGCAAGGTATTTGATGCTTCTGTGAGCTTATTTCAGAACATACATGATAACTGGAGGCATTTTTCTTGATGTTCCTCTTGGCCACTTCAGTGCATGCTTCAGGAAACACTCCCTGGGTCAGGTAGTGATACACCTCACTATAGAAAACCATGTCCACATCCACACGACTAGTGGATCCTTGCTTGAACAAAAACCCAGAGTTCTCACTTTCTCCTTCTACCTCACAATTAGTCTCTCCTTGGTCTCTTCCATTCTCCTCTTCTTCCCGACCCCCAACATCTTGGGGTGGGGTTTCTTTCTTAGGACCATTCTCTTCTGACCAATCCATGCTTCAGAGAAGCACTGGAACACTCATGCTTTCTCATATGAAAATGGCAAACCTAAAAAAGGAGCAAATTTATTATATAGCATGTGATCACAGATACATACAATTTCACTAAATGCATCAATCATGTTCATTTCACTCAAACTATGAATCACAAATCTCCATCTCCTGCTGACTAAAATATTAAAGTGCATTAGGCCTACCAATAGAAAGGGGTTTGTCCAAGTCCAAAATAGCACAGATAAGAAATAGGCCTTCATCCAAATGTTCCTTTCATATCCACAGCTGCAGCATTGGAAAATGAGATCAGTTAGTGAGGCTCTGACTGTGGCAATGACTGTTACTGGGCTTTCTCCTTTTTTTCCTTCATCACTCTTTCTTCACTCTCAGTCTTTGAAGGCACTTCAATCTTTCTTGATCTTAAGCAGTTCAACATTCTCTGTAAAAGTCCTTTCTTCAGCTCATCATTTGGGACTAGTACCAACCTCTTGGTTGTGATATTATGCAGGGGTCCAAATGCCAGAGCTACAACAGTACAGGTCAAACAAATCACATTATACGGCATGCTGAAATCAGGAGTTGGGAGGGATACCAAGAGGCTTTCAGTGTAAAACCGCATCATTTTAGAAGGTAATTCCTCACATGGCAAGGTGGTCCGGTTTCTGAAGGAAGGCAAAGTGGCAGTGACAACAGCTGAAGGGACATAAAACCCATGATTTGCATCTGGAGGATATTCTGTCCACTTGAGAAAGCTCTTTTCAAACTGAATGCTCAGGGTGCCAATAGACTTTGGTGGAAGTTTGATAGCAACTTCTAGGAGATTAGGCCTCCTTCGATCTTTCCCAGGCACAAAACCCAAATATAATGGGGTTGTATCCTTGCCATTTATTTTAAATGTCAGTGTGTGAAGTGAAACATGAAGAAACCAAGGGATAGACTGCATCACCGACACTGACAACTCTTGATTGTATAAATTGTTATGCAAGTTGGTAGTGATGCCTCCTCTCTCCATTCCAATCCCAGTGAGAAACCTGTGACTATGTATTGGTGGAAGCCGAGGTGTTCTATCCAAAATGGATTTCTTCACACTTGGTACTGCAGCTAGGTTCAGTGGCTCATTGAAGCTGAAAGTCTGCAAGTCATAGACAGCATAAGAGGCATTTACTGTGGTTGGGCTTGGATTCAAATCAAATTTCAATGTTACATTGTGGGCAAGATCCACATAAATAATACTGTCATCAGCAATAGGGCAGGCAGAAAACAACCCAACACCAAATATTTTCTTCAATGACCATGTTATCTCAGGATGGGCAGTGACAGTTGATAATGTCAATACCAATTCTTGCCTGCAAGTTTCACCAGTACAGATTGGCCTTAAGTCCACAGCAATTGAATGAAGAGAAGTATCAAAAAGCTTGACAGCAGTGAGAAGGGAGGAGAGACCCCGTTTTCCCAAACATGGAAGAAGTTTCATCCACGGAGTCATATTCTCTGTGCATACCGTTTCTCTTGGTAATGCTGCATATCGTAGCTTACTCATATCAGGATTGGATGATGATGGGACGAAGTTAAGTTGTGGGTTCACGCTTTTGTCTGGTTTAATACTATCCAAAGAAGCACAGAAAAGTCCAGCTAAAGCATTATTGAGATCTTTCCAATGCTTATCAACATCTAAGACTTCTTCACCAAAGTATGCCCACACCTCTGCTCCAGGAGGGGCATCCCTTATGGGATAGCCCCATTTCCAATGCCTCCATAATCCTTGCGTAAGACTCAAGTGGAGTTCCTCCACTTGCGATGCTTGAATGATTTCACCCAGAGCACGTGGAAACAAGTTGAAGTGAGACCCTGATGCATTTGCAGATGATGGAAAGTCACGACTTATTAGGAATCGGAATGCAGAATACACATGTCCATCAGATAAAGGTTTGATCAACAAATCCTCACGGAAGAAGTCCCCTGACCCACATGCAATATTCACAAGGAGCAGATTGGATAAAAGCACAGCCAGAGAACATACTAAATATTGCCTCTGTCCTGATGACATCTCTTGCTGCAATAGGCCTAGACCTGAAAAGAAAACCAAACTCTGAATGACATTGAGCAGTATTTAAGGTCTAACATGAGCATGACTTTAGATGCTATCCTCATTAACTATAAAGGTAACAAGTTCTCATAGCTTACTTCACTTGACTCTGACACTTTTAAAATCACCTATACATGGCAATTCCAATGCAAGGATGTCAAACTGAAAATGAAAACCACTGAAAAGGCATGATGCATCTGCTGTGGCAGATTGAACCTACTCAGAGCCATCAAGGCTCTTGCATCACCCATTTACATCTCTGTTTGGTGGAGGGGATCTCAAGCTTTTTTTTTACTAGAATGCAACTTCATTTCATTAGACTCAGATGAGCCCAAGACAGTAAGGGCTCCTCTTTATTGCCATCTTCTAATATTATAACTTAAACTCAAATGAAAATCTGTCATACTTGCATGAAAAAGACCACTCAACAAGTTACTCACTACAACTTCATACAGTGACAATGTTTAATTAGGCAGATCCAATGCATGCACTTCATTGTCCTTTCCTTCCACAGGGGTACAGAAAAAAAGATAACAGCTGAAATCATGAGTCTGTCAACTTTTACTTTTTATTGTTCTAAATTCAGAATGAGACACTATGATGTAACACATATTGCAGGAATGTATCTAGAGGGTTGAATATTCCTCTTGAAGTCATAGGCACATGTTGATGTCTTTGAGTTTGGTTAAGTTTCACCATTATAACCACTTCAGTTAACTTTTTCTGAACTTCCCTACATATCTAGCCCTTTTAAGCTAAAGAGTTTTCAAATCTAAGAGAGACTTTGCTTTCATGTGATGGCATGCAAAGATTCAAAAAAAGAGAATGATGCATAATAGTGGGTATAAGTATGAATCATTTTATTTGCATAAGTAAACTTTTGATGAAGAACCTTTAGCCTGATGGAGAATGATCCAACAGTGCTGAAATTAAATGTTCAATGGAATTGCTTTGAGCTAAGCCTAATGATAGACAACCATCACCAATTCAAAGGTGTTCCTTGCTTATATATATATATTTTTTTTTACCAACCAAGCAGATCTAGGCCCAAGGCTACATTAAGCAGAAGCAAACGTTACAGGCATAAGATCGGCTTTGTTTTAACCCTTTCACTGTTACGCAAAAATATCCACCACTCCCTGTGCTATAAAAATTGAGACTGTCTACCTTAACCCTCATCCGGGCAAGCTATTTTACAACCTATTCCGGGCAAGGTGAGTCTGTCAGACTCATGTAAAATAAGGCCGTTTGCTGCGGTTACGGTATGTATTCTTATAAATAACAGTACTGTAACTAAAATAATACAGACAATTTATTTAATGGTCCTGATAGTTTAAAAAAATGACAGTAATAGACCGAAATATGTTGTAGTGAGTCCAGCGGACTCACCTTGCCCGGATTAGGGTTAAAACAATGGTTTGTTTAAAATGTCATAACTATTGAAAATTGCGGTTACCAGCATAAATAGCGGTGAAATAGCCTAGAAACAGTGAACGGTCAGGGCCCGGTTACATACTCGGGCTACCACTACACAAACCCAAGTATTTACTCGGGCAAACAGTGATCTCAACTGAAATGAATAATTAGCATTATAATAAAAATGTTAACTTCCAGAAGCCGATCATTTGCGTGGTCTATGGGCCTAGGAAACGTAAATATATCGTTAAGTCAGCGTTTCACGCTTTCGACATGACATTATCATTAGTAAAGAAATTGGGCACAGCATCCTCGGTGCAGCATGACCGTCTCATATCTCGCATCCTGGGCGAGTATTATGAATCATTAGAGAAGTAGAAGGGTCATTGATTAGACTACAACCAGCTCGTAACACGATGTTGTAAACGAACTATTGTAGCAGTTGACAAGTATTCGCCAAATAAGTCAGCCAGCCATCCACTGGTTTCATCGCAAGGTGATAGAAGGNAGAGAATTACGTTGCCATTTAGCCTCACCATAGCTTATGTCCTGAGTCATCGATAACAGGATGCCGGTGTGAAAGATGCGTGCGCTGAAACCACTACCATAGTAAAAATGGCGTACGCCAATTTACGATCGTAGTAAAATCCGTGCACGCAGGACCCACTACCGTCACGCAAAAATTACTACGAGGTACTGTGACCCGCGACTGTTTACCATAGGCGATAGGTTTTAGGGACTATCTCTTTTCCTGTCGTGCCTTCAGGGTCAGGGTAGGAGATTACCACTTCCCCGAAACCTTGACCTGATCTGTCAGGTATTTATCGGTACAGGAATTGAAGCACGAAAGGACGGAAGTAAAGTGCACATTTGCACCGGTTCGGTGGTTCTCGTGTGAAGAAGACGTATCCGTGGAGAGACGGCTGACCGTAGCTCCGAGTCGATCGCGACGTAGCTCCGCCGTAAGGGAATAGCCGGAGTCCATGAAGAACATGACTCCGTGAACCCCACGACAATAACTTGGTTTAGTGGTCTGAATTGTCAACGTGATCGATGAGGAGGCCCCAGTGCCGATCCATGAGATTCGACCTTCCAGGTAGATAGTGGGAGGAAACAAAATGCAGACGTCAGCCTCCAACATGATTGCAATTTGAAAACTGCGACGACCTCGTTGATGTCACTGAAATAAAATATGTAAAAATGGAATCGTTCTTAGAAGGGTCATTTTGGCGTGGGCGAAGTAACATTTGCGTACGCCAATGTAACTACCATAGGCGAACGCAAAAAAGCAATACGATAGTAAAGTCAGCTACGCAAAATTGATTACGGTAGTCGCAATTGCGTTCGCGAAAAACACTACAGTAGTCGTTTTGACAGGAATCAGATTCGCGTACGGCACCGGCAAGCTCGAAACGTCAAGCCGACTGTCGAGCACGGAGGCGGCTCGATCGTGATCTGGGGTTGCATGACGATCGAGGGGACCGGCCACGTGTGCAAGATCAGTGGAACCGTGGACCAGCAGTTCTACGGATCCATCCTTGAGGAATTGTTGCAAACGATCGACTGGCGTGATCTCGACGTCAACAGAGTTATTTTCCAGCATGACAGCGACTCAAAACATTAGACGAAGAATGTTCACTAGTGGCTGAATCGACAGCCTTTCGAGGTCCTGGAATGACCAACTCCAGACTTAACCCTCATCCGGGCAAGCTTTTTTACAACCTATTCCGGGCAAGGTCAGACTCATGTAAAATAATGCCGTTTGCTGCGGTTACGGTATGTATTCTTATAAATAACAGTACTGTAACTAAAATAATACAGACAATTTATTTAATGGTCCTGATAGTTTAAAAAAATGACAGTAATAGACCGAAATATGTTGTAGTGAGTCCAGCGGACTCACCTTGCCCGGATTAGGGTTAAAACAATGGTTTGTTTAAAATGTCATAACTATTGAAAATTGCGGTTACCAGCATAAATAGCGGTGAAATAGCCTAGAAACAGTGAACGGTCAGGGCCCGGTTACATACTCGGGCTACCACTACACAAACCCAAGTATTTACTCGGGCAAACAGTGATCTCAACTGAAATGAATAATTAGCATTATAATAAAAATGTTAACTTCCAGAAGCCGATCATTTGCGTGGTCTATGGGCCTAGGAAACGTAAATATATCGTTAAGTCAGCGTTTCACGCTTTCGACATGACATTATCATTAGTAAAGAAATTGGGCACAGCATCCTCGGTGCAGCATGACCGTCTCATATCTCGCATCCTGGGCGAGTATTATGAATCATTAGAGAAGTAGAAGGGTCATTGATTAGACTACAACCAGCTCGTAACACGATGTTGTAAACGAACTATTGTAGCAGTTGACAAGTATTCGCCAAATAAGTCAGCCAGCCATCCACTGGTTTCATCGCAAGGTGATAGAAGGCAGCCATTCGATCCATGCAGATGGGCCGCTCTCCGACACCAGTGTTGCCCGGGCATCTTCATTTGGTACGTCTAGGTTCAAGGTTCAAGGTTGTTTAGTGGTATCAAGAGGCGATAACACCCATTGGGATACCACGTGTCGAGATCGAGCGCTCCTTAATTTTAGGGTAGGCCTACTCCTCTTAAAGCTAAATATTTTTGTATTTTTACGAGTTTTGTGATTTTTTAAATTAAATTTAATTTTTTAGCATATCCTAGTTGCTTATTGCCTAGTCCCTTAAGTCAACTTTGCCCTCCTTCTTGCTTGTCCATAAACGCATCTAGTTTCTTCTTAAAAGCATAAAAACACTCACGGAAGGGGCAACCACTACGTCGTCGTCTAACGCATTCCACGCATTTACCACTCTACAAGTAAGAAAGTCCTGTCTTAACCTGAGCCGCCCCTGCGGTTTACGCAACTTGAGTTGATTACTTCTCGTTCTCTTGCCGCCATCGAACTGGAAGAACCTACTACGCTCGACATTATCTATTCCTTTAATTATCTTGAAAGTCTGGATGCAAGGCCGTATTAAGGGGAGGGGGGGGGGGCTCATGGGGTTTAAAACCCCCCCCCCCCCGAAATATCTTCCTTAAATGTTTGCCATACCGCTATTCGTCGGTGTAAACGGTGCAGTACTTGGTCTTTTCTATCTTTAATAGCATATGACTTATTAAACACTGCAACTTACAGGAAAATCCAGATATATCACTAAGACTTGCAATGACTAGTAAATATTTAAAAAAATAGTCACAGCGCGTACGAAAGTCACGTCACGCGACCTCACCCCCCCCCCCCCGAAATGAAATCCTAGATACGGCCCTGCCTGGATGAGATCGCCCCTACTTAAACTTCTCTCTCTCTCGTACAGTCCCAGCACTTCTACACGCTTCTCGTACGGAAGCCCCGTAATATTCCTATCATTCCCTGTAATATCATTCTTGTGGCCCTCTCGAGCGCCAACAATTTACCCTTATTTGTAGGCCTCTAAAACTGGATGCAATATTCCAAATGGGGCCTTATCAGCGCCGCATACGACGGAAGAATAACGCGTGAGTTCCTACTTGCAACCGAACGACAAATGAAACCTAGCATCCTGTTACGTTTAGCCACTGTCGCTTGCGCGTGCGAAGAAAACTTGAGGTCTTCGTCGACAGAAACTTCTAGATCTTTCTCTCCGTTTGCCTCCCCCAATTTATCCTCGCCGAACGAGTTGAGAGACCTACCGTTACTTCGACCGACGTGGAGAACTTTACATTTAGTTTTATTAAACCTCATGAGCCATTTCTTGCTCCACTCATCCAAAAGACTCTTCATGTCAACCAGCTATTGATCCACTCGCTCGTCCTACCCTGGATCCCGTGCGCCTCCAGTTTAATCCGCAACCACCTCTTGTGAGGAACGGTATCGAAAGCTTTCGCGAAATCTAATAGACGATGTCCATTGGATTCCCCTTATCCCTCTCTTCCGTCGCCCAATCGTAGAATTTGAGCAAGTTGGTGAGACAATTACGACGCCTCCTAAAGCCGTTCTGAGAGTCCCGGATGGGCGCGTTTCCTTCGAGGAAATCCAAAATGTGGTCCCTTAGGATGCTCTCCATGATCTTCCCCGGATTACTCTTTCACCCTTCTTAAAGATCGGTACGACGTTCGCTAGCCTCCAGTCCTTAGGTACTTCACAGCGCGAAAAGCTGCTTTCAAAAGTTATTCTTAGCGGAACCGATATCTCACTCGCAAGTTTCTTGATGATTCGAAGCAGGAATCCCGTCGGGGCCGGTCGCTTTGCCCACCTTCAACTTCCCCATCATACTCACGATCGTCTCCTCGGTGATGGAAATATCCGCAATGCGCGCCGAAGTCACCTCCTTCAAAGTCGGTGCTTCGTCGGATTCCACTGTGAAAACGGAAGCGAAGAACTCGTTAACCCCTTAACTGGGAACTTTTGAAGGCATATGTGCGGTGATTCCATTGAGAGATGGCAGGTGCCAGACCGCACATATGCGGCGAGTCCATTTAAGGGGTTAAGTATCCCAGCCATATCTTTATTACTTGCAATCGATTCCCCCCCTGCGGTTCATTAGAGGCCCGATCGATTGTTGACACCTACCACTAGCATATCGTTAAAAAGCCTTGAGGTTCTTCTTAGCATCGCTAGCCAGTCGTTCTTCGACCACCCGTCTCGCAGATCTCATTTCCCGCTTCAACGACCTCGTGATATGTCTCGACCTCGTGATATATTTCTCTTAGTTCGTTCTATCTCTCTTGCGCTTATACATATCCCATTTCCGCTTCTTATACCTGATGAGTGCTTTGATTTTATCCGTAAACCAAACCGGTTGTCAGAC